TTTTCATAAAAATAAGAATACAAGTTCCTACGGAAAGCAATAGCTTCCGCCAAATAACAAAAAAGAATTAAAAATTTTCTATACAATTTAAGAGATTTATTAAAGAGATAAAAAATAAAAATCTATACTTTTTAATTTTTGAATTCTTTACCTACGTTTAGTAAACAATCACACATTTGGTTTTTAATCATTTCATTCACAGTAATAACTCGAATAATTAACACTTTAAAATGTTCATGATAAATAAATCATTCTATATATAATATCTTAACTCGTCGAAAAATGTGAAAAATAATTAAGGACGTATATGCATCTGTTTTGCATAATCATTACGCCGTGTTAAAAATATCTCGATTTTGTATGACTTGAACACTATATTGTTGCTAACTATATATACTATACATCAAAATAATTCAATAAAAATTATAAAAATTATAATATCTTAATATAAAAATAATTGTAAGTTTTATTGATTATGTCATTGTTTTAATATTTAATTTACTGATTATATACTGACATTTAAATTAAAATAGTAAACATGAATTGTATTTTAAAATGAATAGTAAAAATATTAAATTTAATTGATTAAACATTGTTTTGGACCACATTGTGAATTTAATGTTTTTTTGAAAATATCCGAAAGAATATCCAAAATATTATATATTGTGATTTATTAATTATATTACTCATTTTTTAATAAAAATGTGTATACTAAAAATTAATTTTATTTTTCATCGTAAATGTCAAGAGAATTGAAAAAAAATTTTTTCTAAGGGTTGATTTTAGGGGTAACTTTTTTAATTTAAAAGGGAACCTATTATTAATTTTTAAGATATAAGCATATAAAGATTTAAAAAATGGTGATGAGTGATGTATTTAGTAATGTTTTATTTTTCTCATAACGCATAGAAGAGAATTCTTTTACGTTGCGCACACTAATCGACTATAACTAAAAAATTTAGCATCTCAAAAATACAATACTGGTTATTAACTGGTCAACATTTTATTTAGATTATTCTCTATTTAATAGTAAAATAATAATAATAATAAATTTCGAAAGTTAGTCCTAAAATAAGCCTTAAGGAATAAGTTATTTTTACAAATAATCTTGACATTAACCATAGTTTATAAAGCATGCTGTTTAGAACAGCTTTTTAATAACGGTTCTAATATATTCTAATATAAAATTAATTTACGTAATTAGCCATAAGAACAATATAAAGTAATTTTTTTTTATGGAAGTGTAATTTAAAAATTTTTTAACTCTTGATGACTATAATTCATTGATAAAACTATTATTCATTTATCTATGGATGAAATAATACATAAAATTAAAATATACATATAATTTATTTTCGAAAAATATCACAAAATTGATGATAAATTAAAATAGGACCCTCTATTTTAATTTATCACTGTAAGAAAACTTGTACACTAAAAATTAATTAAAAGACGCAAAAATTTTTTTTTTTTTTATTTTAAGTAAGTATATTTCCAAATGATTTTAAAACTAAAATAAAACACAAGATATTTATTGAAAAAAAGTTCATCCTAAATATATATTTTCAATTAACCTAATTCTTTTAAAAAAATATATGTTTAAATTATGCTGACCATATTAAATTCTTTTTTATTTTAATTATTATACAAAAAAAAATTAGTTAATAATTATTTATGTGTTTACTGAACTTCGGTATTAATAATTTGAATATTTTAATTAAATTACCTTTTTTGGTTAAAGTTAAAATAACTTATTTTTCCTAAAACTAGAAACACAAGTGCACTAAGACGCTATTTACATATTATGAAAATATTTTATAAACAATACAAGCTCAAGATATCAGTTTTAATATATTCATTAACTCAGTATAATTATATTTCTTATGTATGTACTTATTTCTTTGAGAAATTTTAAACAAACTGTATATAGGTAACTTTTATTTAAAAAAATATCATTCATTACTTATAGCTAATTAATTAAAAGAAAAAATGTTAATTAAACCAAAACAATTCGCTGTTTTTGAAGTGTTTTTTTAGTGTTGAGTTTCATTAATATTTTTTACTTTTAGGTAACTTTTGCTTACAATAAACATAAATTTTCTTTGTTTCCAAAATAATAATACATATGTTATTCAGAATGATTCTTTAGGTATTTTAGTCAATATCTCCATTATAATTAATAGTAGATTATCTTTTACATTTTATTTTATGATTTAAAAATAGAAGGTTAGTATCATGTTGAAGGAGTAGGATTATTTATTTTAATATGATGTAAAAATTAAACATTGAAGTTTACCCTAATAATATTTTATCTATTTGTTTATAATGTGATAGAACTATACTTAAAACTTTACTTTGTTTTATACATAAGAGATAATATTTTATTTTCAACCTTCATAAACACAATTCTAGATTACATAAAAAGTCTATAAATTGTCAAGTGGATTCTATCGGTATTAAAGTTTGAAGTAGTGAATTGTCTATTGAAGTAATATATTTTTATAAATAAATCAATTATACGGTTTTCATTGGCAGTGTCATTAATTTCGTCCAAAGCCTAAATAATACTTAATGGTTATTTTATTTAGGTCAACTAAATTTTATTTTGAAGGCATAACCTAAAACATACCTAAAATATACTTTGTCTACTTAACCAACAATAATTCTTCGTATTATATAGTCTTCTATTTGTGAATAGGGTTTAAGGTTGGTATAATTAACAACATGGAGTGGTATATGTGGGTTTTAGTTGGTTTAACAAGACCGCTAAAAGATAATTATCTAACTAAATTCCACTTTCTAAGGAAAATATAAAAGTTATTGTGTTGCAATCAATAATTAAAGTAAAAAAAACTTTAATTATAATTATGATTTATGATACGTATCGAACTTATCGGATAGATTCATTTACTTATTTATAATGAGTTTATTAAACTAATTACTTTTTAATGATGAAATGAGCAAGTATTATTTTGAGTTTTGATGATTTTTTGGCTAAAATATTAGTTAGGGCTGTTGATACATAAATAATAATAATGGGAAGTGAGAGTAGTAATTATATTCTATCTAATTATTTAAATACTGATAAATAAAAAAACATGAATATTAAAGTTTTGATTAAAAAGTTCATAATAAAACATTTATAATGTTTTGATATTGGTTATTTATGGACAATTTAATGATTGCTAAAAATTTCAAAAATAATAATAATAATAACGAATGTATTAGGAGAAAATTGGTTAACAATTCATTTATTAATCTAAATTATTGGAAATCAAATACATGTGAAATTTACTGAGCATCCAAAGGTTTTCTCAGAAAGTGATCAAAGTAGTTACGTATTCATCGTTTCAAGTAACCTAAATTGTATAGCTAAGTAATCACTTTATCGCACAACCCTATAAGTGAATGAATATTTGCTAACTATTACTTTGAAATACATACAAAATTAAGTTCTACAATGGTTCTTCGATTAATTTAATACCCTTTAGATGTTTGAAAAACTAGTAAATAAACATATAACACACATAAATTATTTACATTTTTACTTAAAAATATACAAAATGCATTGAAATTTTTACAATTAAAACTCTTCAGTTTAGATTAGTCATACAATATTAGTATGCATTGCCAGTAAAAGTATTGCTTCTAATGAGACACTCAGAAGGGAAGATATCCGAAAGAACAAATATAGATAGGAATACATATTTACAATTTTTAGCTGGTGAGAAATACAATGAATTGGTAAAAAGTTTAACAGACATTGTAAATACTTTAAATGAAATTTACTATTAAAAAATTATACCGTACAAAGTACAAATGACTAAGTACCAGAAAACAGTGAAATCAATTGCTAAATCAGAATGTAAACGTTACTTAAAGTACATTAAAAGACCAATTAAGAAAGTTATTAAGTGAACATTTAATAGAAAAAGTAATGGAAAGTGTAGAAAAAGCTACAAAAGTAAAACCCACCTTAAATACTTTTAAGGTGGATGATAAGGTACTAATAAAGTCAATAAATACTAATAAAATTTTAGCTATGAAAGCATTTTGCGAAATTATCTTCTATTTTTGAAGGATAATTCATAATATACAAATAAGTGCATTAAAACATTTAAATAGTTAATAGTAAAAACAAAGTTAAAAGTTTTTTCAAGAGTATGTAAGTTATGTTCCATAGATCACAATTATAACAATATCGCATAAATGAATAATGATGAAGATATATGTATCAAAATTTTATGTTAGGTCTTATGGTTTATCAAATTTTTTTCTGTTTTGGGGGCAAATGTATGGGTTTTAAATTTTGTACCGTTTCTTTTATAAAAACTATGTAAATAAACAATTATTAGGAAATGAACAAAAAAAGTTAATCAATTGTGCGAAACTGACACCAAGATCCTATTATGCATTATTGTTTACGTGTGTCATGAGTAAGTGCCTAGAAAAAATAATATATATAAGAAGAAAAATGCATGATTAAAAACATGAACAGAACAACAGAAGAAAAAAGAAAAGTACACATGTAACGTTTGCAGTTTTTTTTCGACCAATAAATAAAGAAGAACTGAGGAACGTGTAATTTTTTGTGTTGGAAACTACATTTATGCCGACAACAGACAATTTGAATATCAGCGATCGAATCATATCAACTAGTCATTCTAAATTCAGAAGATGTCAGAGGTTAGAAATTAACTGGAATATATACATTTAAGTACAGACGATACGTACATACAAATTGTCCCTAACATAAATACTATAATAATAAGTATTTAATCGAATTAGAGTTGTACATATTGTATTTAATAACGAATTGCATCTTGATATATCAATGTTTAATATTCTTATTATTTTTTAAATTATTATGTTCATTGTTTATGTATTCATTAACTTGCAAGTATAAATTAAAATATAAGTATATAGTTAAAAATCATTACAAAATCTTAATTGAGTTAATTATAATATAATACAATATCACAGTGTAACAAACACCATTACAAGCTAGTCGTTTATTCAAACTTTTAAGCATAATTTAAACATTTCAAGTATACATTTTAGGTTATTATAAATTCATTTGAACAATTTTCAACGCATAAACTCAGTCCGATTCAAACAAATTTTGACAAACGGAGATGTTTGAAATGAGGACATATCTGAAACATTTCAAATGTAATTAATTAATTAAAGTTACTCAGAGAACTGCATTTATTTGACACTGTTATGATGATATTATATAATGAACAAATATATAAATGATTTAGAAATCATACCATTTAAAATTAATTTAATGAAATCTATAGAATAATGACACCATTTTAATAGAAAATCAAGTACAGAGATGTAAGGAAACAAAATTTCCAATTTTAGCTAACTTAAATGGACAACAAAACCACATAAATAAATTTATTTCTGGTCGTTTCCGATTTTCACAGATTATTCAATACGGTTCAATAACAATATGAATACAATTTACTAGAAATAATCAAACTGAAAATGTATAACTATATTGCCTTATATAACCTTTTCGATTAATTTAAGTCATCCACAATATGTCTGGAATTGAAAAACTTTCCTTGAAGTTGAAATTGAAATATGGTAATTAGTACTCATTTCTTTAGGTAAAGTTTTGAAATTTGTTTGATTGCATAATGAATTTTTATGTAGCAGAGAATGTTTTAAAATTAACTACATAAATATTTATAATTAAAGGCAACCGCCGAATGCCAAAAATGTTCATTTAATTTTCATTTGTTTCGAAACGTGGTTTAACTTAACCAGTTTGCTTAATTATAATTTTTTTATATTGTGTTTTTAGCTTTGATGCGAAGCTGAGAAGATATTAATTTAATATGATGTGTTTATTTATTGTTTTGTGTCTGTTACCACTTATTCTCAGTTCTCACCGAACCGATTTCTTTCAATGATACGTCAAAAGATCACAAATCGTATCTAGTCGAAGACATTACCCTCAAAAATTAACAAAAATTCTTTCGTTCCCTGTAAATGGGCAAAATACCCCAAAAAATTACAATTTTAAAAAATCGGTAATTTTCGACATTTGAATGGCTTCTTTTTGCATTTTATTTTAAATCTTATTGAGGCAGAAAAAAATTTCAAAATTCGTTTCATTATTATTTTATTTAGATAGAATAATTGCAATTAGATTTTTTCCATCACCTCTTTTTTTCATATTATTACTAATTTATAAAAACCAGTATTTACATTTAAACATTTATTTTAATTTTTAATATTTTAAATATAATCCGTATGAAATTTTTATTTCAAATTCCTTGTAAACATTTATTTATAATTAACAACAAATTATTTTTAGAAGAATTTTGTATCAAGCTCTTTAATTTATATACACGTTTGCCATAAAATTTATAACTATTTTATAATTTTTTATAAATTCTCAGAAAAAATACTAAATTATAAATTTTAATCTCATAATATTTATAAGTACTATATTAAATATTTATACATATATTATAGAACTACTAATCACGAATAATAAAGGAAATAGGAATTCATTTTGCTTTGGTATAATCCACCGAATTTTTAAAATTAAATGTTATCTACAGATTTTCATCAAAGCGTTTCATATAATAGTGATTTCAACTGTCAGATGTCAATTATACTTGTCCTATCTATACTACATTGACACTATGCAGCGACCGCACTGTTTTTATTAAATAAGCTTGTATAACAGGCTAGTCGAACTTTGATTATGAGTTTTAATTGATTTCAGAAATTAGTGAACTAAGCTAATTTGTAGGCTAAAATTAAAATAGTCGGTAGTGAGTTGTTTATCGAACGATTTAATTTTGTAGACGACATACCAAACCTAATTAATCATTTATTACGTTGAAATTAGATATGTAGATTCTAATTCAAACGTCTAAATAATTATAATTTTAATAGTATTCAAAAACTCAAAATTGTTAAATGCTGCTTAAGCAATATTTTTGTCAGAATGGGTATTACGTTTAATATAACGATTTGTCATAAAATTTCGTTAGAACTTTTCAAGTATTCTCTCTTTTTTTATAACGTGAAGACTCAGTACAGTTGAATATTCATTGAATAATACAGTTTTTAAGACTCAATTACTGTGAATTATACAGAAATTATTTCGAGTACCAGAAGACAAATTGAAGTACAAAAAAAATACAATTAGTAAAACTAATTGTATTCTTAAATATAGGCTACATAAAAATGTATAACACAATACTGTAAGTTTATTCATCTTACAAACAATAAAATATATCTTCACAAGCTATTTGTGTTACAAATATAAGTAATCTTATATGTGTGAATTTTTCAAAACTAATATGGGCTATGAAACAATGTATCTATAATAGCTGTAATTTTTCTGTATATATTTAAATGTCACGTATATTATTGTTATTTTTTAATAAAAGTATTTGTTTGTGAATTGTTTGTCGGTAAAAAATATTTTTTTGAATATTTTGATATGATAAATGTGATTTATAAAAATAAAGTTTTCAATTTCTATTCGCTACGCAACCAAAGTAAATCCACGTTATCCTTTAAGCTAATAATTCTAATGAAATCCTTTCGGTTCAAACTATATTGAAAAGTTTTCCGTAAAAATGTTAGGCGTATGACCGTTTTTGTAAAACTAGTGTCATCAAGTAAATGTCTATAAACACCAACTCTAAAAAATACATTAATCACCACTGTATCTTGCATAAAACTTTTTAACTATCCGACTTGTGAAGAAATCGCAAGATAGTACTTTTTAAGTTATTTTTCTTAATTAAGGAGTGTGCATTAGCGATCATCTTCTCAGATAACTGGAATATTATGTTTGATGTAAATTATGAGCTTTTAATTCATTTTTAATAAATATTATTTGTTATAAGATTATCAAAATTATTAAATTTAATCAAATAATTGATAATTAATAACGATATTTAACTCTGGTGAAAATAACTTTTTTTAATAAAAATAAACATTAATTAAATAAAACAAATTATTTTTAAATTAAATTAAAATAAATTAAATCATTTTTAGAAATGTCTGGATAACTCTCATTTCTTAGAATTATCATAATCAAATAAACACTTTTTAGTCCTTATTGTTCTATTTTATAACGAATTGTATAATATTAAAATAAATATAAACATAAACATATTGAAAATGGTAACTTGTTTATCATATTTCATTTTCTCATCGGTCATACATTTTTCAATAAGTGATTTATTAGTCGACTTATTTTATAATATTGTATTGAATAAATAGTCATCTGAGCAGTTTATTTTTCTTCAAATTTTTGTTGCTAATTAATATTTTATCAATTTCTGATGTATTTATTATCGAAATTCTTGCATTGTTATTATTTACTAACCAAGTCTTTTATTATATTCGTTTTTGAGTAATATTATTTATACATTTACGCTACAAAACGTAACTTAATAGCAATAGATTTTTAAATTAAATTTGTCAATGTCTTTGTTATTTTTTTCTAAATTGTGTTTCATTTTCTTTAACTTTGTTAATTTTAATGGCTCTAAAACAAGGCAAAATGATTTTTATTTGTTTTAGCGTTAAGCTGTTGAATTATTATTTTTTCAATGGCTGATGTGTGTACATTATTCGAGTACATATAGTAAACTTAACATATTGTAATGTTCTTTATGATTTTTTTTTTTTTTGAACTAGTGAAGCAAATGCCAGATTACGTTTAAAGATAAAAATTTTTCATCCCGTTTAACTGAACGTGCCAAATCCGTTATACCATCTGTCACTGATAAGTGTTCAACACATCTATTGTGGTGAAAAAGTGATGCTTGATATTTCGAGTTTTTTGATTGTTTATCATAAGTTGAATGATTTGTTCAAATTCCATTTACTTTCAAGCTGTAATAGTTTTTGTACTAGTTCGCTCATGTGAAATATCACAGCTCTTTTGTGTTTAACTTATTTTTAAGATAAGCTCATCATAGTTTATTTTTACAAACTTTCCAATTTAATTTTTATAAACGAAATAATGTACAAAGATTTGGTTCATTTTACAATGATCGGATTATCATAAATCACTCAATTCCTCATAAAGTAAATACAACAATTAAAACACAATGTTAAATTTTTTTTAGTTACATATATTTTTTGCTTTTTCATCTAATTACTTATAAGAATCATATTTAAGAACTAGAGGCATTTTCGAAAAATAATAGTATTAGAAAATATAGGAATTATAAAATAATCGAAATTTTAAATTAATCAATACATAATAGTGATTCTATGATGATTATCGTTAATAACGGTAATTAATATTTATGATTTAAGAAAAAAACAAGATTTATTAGGTTATTTGATGTTGATATGAATTGTTATTAGACAGATAAAATTTTATTTATAGAATTGACATGGAAATTTATGATAATTATTTGAAACGATATCTTTATCAGAAACTAGGATTTCCATGGTGATAGCATTAAGTAATAAATTTGACTAATAATACGCCATCTATTAGCTACATAATTTCACTAAAAGGTACTAGGAACGTTCGTGTAAGAAGAATCTCACATAAATCTTGTTTTAAAACTCGGTTAACCAATTGTAACTTGTACTGTTATTGAAGTTTTATTTACTCTGCACGTGATATATTTTTCCAGTAGGTTTTTTCATATTTTATATATTATACAAAATATTTTTTCTACTCGGTAAATTTAGATTATTTTATGTAGCATAGAAATCTGTATACTCTTCTATGGTATTAACTCGGAAAATTAATTAGATACACGTTGCACAAATCTTTGTCGTTTTACGATCACGAGTTATTCATAAAAAAATCTCAGCCTTTCTCTTACATTCTGTTCGGTTTCTTGTACATCGAAATATTATTAGTAATAATATTGACCTATTGTGTACAATATTGAAAAAATTGATGTTATTTCAATCACATTTGAGGGCTTGGTGTCTGTCTCTCTTTTCCAAACTTTTATCGAAATTCAGATCAATATAAATTTGTACCTCGTGTCTAAAAAGGCCAATCAAAAAAAAAATTTTTGTTTATTTTCATGTACTACTGCAAAAAACTTACTATTGTGGGTAATATCTTTTGAGTTACGCCTTAAAAAAGAACTCTCATCCTACAAAAAGAAACTTAAACCAAGCTGATAAAATA